CTTGTGATAGTAGAGACGGACAACCAGCAGCCCCCCGTCCCCACATGTTCACACTCCTTTTTCAGCTCCTCCAACTACAGTATGTTTTTGCTCGATCCTCCTCCCTCCGTTCCGTATCGCTACACAGTTTTCCTCTTAGAAACTTGCAGATGGAATGAAATGGTTTTGTCAGACATCTGCGAATGTTCTCCATTGTGCCTGAAGGTGGGCCGTAAACGTGACTGTTATGATCTTAAGACAAGCTCTGCCTGTATTTGTAGTTATTCTACTCTACAATAGATTATCATTTAATTTGGGAAAATTCATAGATGCCCCCTGATATGTAAAGGTGAGGATTAGGGGATTTGTTTATTCGCAGAGCTTCAGGAAACAAGGTCCATAGTCACCGTGGAGAACATCTGCAGCTTTTATTTTTCTTTAAAATCACCACCACTGTGTTTCACATAGCTCCTTTTGTATGTGTGTGCCAGCGTGAATGTGTCTGTGGGTCTTTTGACTTTGTTCACTTTGCCCCCCCACCCCTGGACGCCTTGTCCCGCAGCAGAGTGACATAGCAATAATGAGTGGTGCTTCTGTTCTAGACGGCTTTATTGGCTTTGGACCCTCTAGTTTCAACCTGTTGGGAAAATATTTTGAAATTAAAGAAAAAGTTGATGTCACATTGGAGTTTTTTCTGTTTTTCTGTGTCTCTCCTCTTATTGGTGAAAAAACTGTTTGTGCTGTGTGTTAAATTCTCCAGTTAGATAGCAATTCTATGTAAGTTTTTGTTTTAACCACTACTATACTATAACTATACCTTCACCCATGCTAGTTTTTGTAGTACAGAAAACTGTGCAAAGGTCCATGCACATGTGAACATAGCATGTGTTCGCCCTGAGTTTGAGAGCTCCCTTTCAACGTGTTCATGTTCAGAGTTTTTAAACCGACACAAAGCCACTGTGTGTCTGTGTATATCTTTTTGTGTGTGTGTGTGTGAGGTCGCCAGGGGCACGAAGCTGTGTTAAATACAACTGCTGTGTCAGGAAGTGAAAGGTCAGCAATTGCCAGAGTGGAGGGACCCAATGAAACCATGTCATTTGCTCATTGCAGGAAAAGCTGTCACTCACGGTCACCAGCCAGTGACAAGTTCCTCTTTGTAAAACATGGAGGTGTAGAGTCGTGATGTCTGAGTACCACAGATACAGGAGAGTCCGATTAAAATGTAATCGAGAAATGTTGAACACATACATATGCATGTGTGTTCTAGTAAACAAACTACTACGATCTCACCTTTTAACTCATACGCCGTAACACTGAAAGTCATGCAGAGGTACATGATGATTCAAATCTTTGTATACTAAAGAGGCAATGAGATGGTCACAGTGATTAAAGGTGATAAAGGACAGTACAGGCAGGATTGTTACAAAATAAAACGTCAAAGCACAGCAGGTAGATACAAATAACTGCTTCTTATATCAATTCTTGTGGCATTTTTGAATCTTAAAGTAAATGGAATATTGTATTATCCAAATATCCAAAGCTTTCAGCTATTCTCATCTTTAGGGGCAGAAATATGGGCCAGAGTGTGGATATATTTTGGTCAATACAAGATTTTCAAAATAATAGATGATGCATATGCATAAGTTCTCTATAATTTGATCTGGTTACTAATAGTTAGTAAATTTCTATCATGGTTACAGGAGGCAAAGTTGTGGCTGACACTTCCCCTGAGTACTCATAACCTTTGACTCCTTCATGCCCCCCTGCTAAGCTGAGTGCTACAGAGTGAGATTGCCTCCCTGTGGCCACGTCTGTCAGCACAATAACAACTATACTGACAATGAGTCAGGATGAAAGGTAAAATGGAAGAGAGTGCTGGGGCACTAACAAAAATATCAGCCCTGGACCTATTCCACACAAGTGTTTATTATTTCTTCAAGCCATAAAATGTGTGAAGTATGGATTACAGATTGTAAAATGGACTAAAGGCAAGAGAATCTGTCCATTGACGCTTCTACAGCTACAGGTGTCCAACTCCCCATCAACTGGAAGGCTGCTGTACAAGTATTGAACTTTCACTGTGCATTAACAATATCAATAAGGGGCATTTTTGTTTGTCAGTTATATTTATGATTACACCTTAAATTAACTCCATTGAAGAAAGTGACAAATTCAGCTCTACGTGATATGAGCACATTCAGCACAGTTAACTTAAGTTGAAAGTTTTGAAGTGGAAGGTCAGAAAACTCAAGTGAACGTGGACAAAGCAGAATATGCCTTCTGCTTCCATCATCTGTAGACTTTCTGTCTCTCTGTTATAATATCTGTGTTATTAATGGGTGTAACTGACAAATTAACCCATAAATACAAAGCAAAACATACAACAATGTAAATAATATATATTAATAATAATAATTATATTGGACACAGCACCGGTAATGATTTTTGCTACGATGCATGGATCAACTGTCACCTTATCAAAACAAGACACATGGTGACATGTATGATGCATATATAGAAAAGCCTTTTTTAATATCTTGTTGCGTCTTAAAATGAACTGAATTAAAGTTCTGTATGAGAGGAGCAGTAAGCATTAAGTGATGTGTGTGTCAGCAGGAAAAAAGTTTAAATCTGTATTAAAGTCAGAAAATTGTTACTTTATTTTACCGCAGAGCTCATTTTAAAAAATGACAGAGCCCGAGAATCGGTCTGTCATCTGTCAATTTCCTTTTTTTTTATCTTTACCATCTTTTCAGCTTCAAACTGGCCTGTTTCCAGTGGTTTCTTTACCAAATGTGATACGAGCCAAAACATAAATAATTCTGCGGAAACATGCTTACTGTATATTCATCAGACTTTTAAGAGAAGTGGATGGAGGGAAGTTTTGGTATGGTCATGACGGATGCAATGGGTTTCAGTGGACTTAACCTGAATTGGGCCCATTCTGTGAAATTGTAAACAAATGATTCATCTAACGGGACCCTTTCAGAGTCAAGTATCCTGGGATGGGGTACTGCATGGTAGTATATTGGGCCCTTACATTATATTATTCTAATCATATTTTACATTATTTTATTATATATTATCTTTTATGTGCTGACCATTCAGTAACGATCAGTTAAGGGTAGCATTTAAAGGCAAAACAGATGTTGAAGACACTCCTGATGATGATAATGTCCATACATTAAAACTGAATATTACTTTTGTTTCTAAAATACATAAGGTCACCAGATTGATCAAAGTCGGAGAGGTCCACATAAATTCTAAAGACAATATTATTTATTTTGGCTGCATTTGAAGATAAGTCTCTAACAGGTGAAAATATAAATACAACTGTAAGCTGTCACAGACAAAAATCAAAGAATTACACCACGGAAAGCCACCTTTCTCAACAGCTCAATTTACTGGTGCTCAATTCATATTGATTACTCGGCCATGCCACTTCTTAACAAAACACGTGAAAGGCCTAAAATTAATTTATAAGGGTTTTATTAAAAGTCCATCCACATTAACACATCTTGTTCCTGCACATTTCAAAAAGCTTGGTTGATGGTGCAGAAAATAACCAATCGCAGTAACATGTTGCTCACTTAAAACTTGTTTAGATGGATGGTACCTACAATATTTAATTTTCACCGCCAAATGACAAAGCTATAGAGATACCTTGAGAATAGTCTAATCGGTAGATACATTTCTCTACAGTGTAGCTGTATTGTGGAATAATCTGCTCACAAATTTGAAAGCGAGTGCTTCCCAGAGCAGATTTAACAGGCAATTGTTACACACTACTATGTATCTTCCATCTATATTTTTTAATTAAAATTTTCGTGACAAAAAAAACATGAATGTCGAGTCACCTTTAATAATTATTTGCTATATATATGTTGGTTGTATTTTTTCCCCCTGCTTGTGATGAGTTGAGTGTTATTCTAGAGGATCAGTGATAAAGTAAGCTCCTGGGCTTTTTAATTCTTTTTTTAATCTATGGAAAAACTGAAGTGAAGTGTTACAGACCACATTAATTAAATGTGAGGTTGATTAATCTAATTTTAGAATTTAATAGATTGTGCTAATATTATAATGGCAATCATTAATTACAATATTATTAATTGTGTCTTCCTTCAAAAAAAAGCAGTCTGGGTCAGTAAGAGAATCTAATCATTTTAAGTTGGTCAAATGCTTTGAAAAATGGTTGTTTAAAGACATATACCTCCTTCACATTATTAATAAAATGATAATATCATTTGATTGTCCAAAAAAAATAACATTAGTGCTACTTGATCGAAATGTGTCTTGTGGACCTCAGAGGAAGTGGGCTGCCATGTCACCATTTCCTCTGTCATGATCCTTGATAGACCATCTCGTTTAAATGCCTCGTTGCCATTAAATCCCTGTAACTCACGAGGTTTCATTCATTAAGCTGCATTCCCCTTCTTCTCCAACCCTTCCCCCATTTTACTGCCTGGCAGTATTTGGAGGAGAAATGGACGACTTCCCCACCGAACGGCTCCCAGACCGAGAGGAGTGGGTGTGTTAGCGATAAACACGTCTTGTCACACACTAATAACCACAGAGTAAAGCGAGGACACGGAGAATAAGCACGGATTGGCGTGTTATTAAATAAAGAAACAGAGCTGAGACGGTGAGGTCGCTTATGGATCCCTCTCAGAGCAGGAGCCATGTTTGACATCCGCGTCTAAAAAACACAGGAAATGGAGGCCGGCGAAATTAGCCTCGCGTCAACCCGCGGCTAAATGAAGTGTGTGCAGATATGAGTGTAATTATTAAACGTGTGAAATGTCCAGATGTGAAGCAGCGGCCATTCTGCAGCAGCAGCAGCAGCGTGTACGCTCCTTTAGCAGGCTGCCATTTCTACCTCCCCTCCACACGCGGAGCACTCACACACACACACAACGCGTGTTCCTCCGCAGAGGGCTTGCGCTTTTTCGTTTGAGGGGGAGGGGGAATTTAGGTAAATATGGGTCCAGCGAGGGGCTGACCGCCGCTAAAATTCACAAAGAGGCACAGTGAACGCGTGGGTGCGATGGCGGTGGGTTATTTTTGAGAAGAAAACCGGGGTTGTCTCGCTGGGCTAGCTCGCACAGCGCGCACTAGTTGCCGCTCGGCGGAGGCACGGCTCGACGCACAGCCGGGACTCGGTGAGAGCGCAGCTGAATGGAGGCAGCCTCTTCCTGGTGGATAAACAGTGACAGCTACAGGGCAGCCACCGAGACCCAGCGCACAGGCTCCGGCGCTGCCCTGGCAAACAACACCAAAATGGCTTCAGACAGTACACACACCGCGCAGTTGACTTCTGGTGAGTAGAGGAGATCGCAAACAACGTGTCACGGTTGGTTTTTAATTCCCCCTCCTCCTCCAATTTCCTCGGCGCCCTCTTCTAACGCAGCTCCCCGTCCTCTTCTTCTCCCTCCACACCAGAGCTGTACTTCCTAATAGCCCGGTTTCTAGAGGCTGGACCGTGTCAGAAAGCGGCCGAGGTTGGTGTTTTCGCCTTTTAGGATCATTTATAACATGTCCGACATTGTCACGGGGGTGTGATTTGTGTATTTGTGTGCTGTTTTCAGACCCTGATCAGGGAGGTGGAGGAGAAGGAGGTAAGCAGCCAGCAGCGCGGGGAGAGATGCGTCCTCCCCTGCACTGTACTTTGTCATGTTGCTGTTCCTCTTCATTTCTCGTTTATTCCTCGCAAAAATATCACACGACACATTTACGAACCGGACGATCGCACTCATAACTGTGTTTCCACCCCAGCTGCTGCCCAAAAGACTGGACTGGACGGGGCAGGAGCACCCCGGGACCTACGAAAATTTGGTAAGGCTGCTCTATAACGGAGGAAAAAGTTTTTAGAGAGCAAAATAGAAATTGAATTTCCCGCAATTTTTAAATCAGGTGGTGGAGGAAGAAGAAGAAGTGTAGGTCTTTGCAGGGTGAGCTGGCTGCAAGTGTAAGGGGGAGGTTGCACAGAAGGGTCCCAGAGTCATGTGCACGAAGTTTTTGCCATGCATACCCCAAAGGTTGTGATAGTTGTGCGTGTGCAAAGTGTGTTGTGTGAAATGTGTGATACGTCATGAGTGTTGTGGTGTAAGGAGCGCCAGGATCCGGAGGAGGGACTCCCTGCGCCACAAGCCAGAGAGAGGAGAAGAGATGGAGGCGCTCTTGTCCTGATCATTTGTGTGCATGGGCTGAAAACACACAGGGGGGCAAAGAGTTAGAAAACAGGACTTTGTGTGGTGTTTTTTTTTTCTTGGAGGAGAATATCAACAGCATGTGCAGTGAGGCTGCAGCTGCTGTTTGCATGAGGATGATCTGTCGTGGAGTCCCTTTTTGGAGAGCTGCTGCTGCTGTGTTTCTTTGGAGATGGGGTGTTTTGAGGTGTTTAGATCGGATGGGAGAGCTCAGGGAGAGCCGCTGATGTGAGGATGCGAGGTAACGTAGAGCTGATGTGTTGTAATTGACGCTGCTAATTGTCATGTAAACAAACGGGGCTCGTCTCAAAGCTCATTTTTACGCATGGGGGCGTGGAGAGAATTTACCATCGCATATATATTTATCCCTCAGCCTGTGTAAAATATAGTTTCCCATGTTGGTTTTGCTATTTATTTAGTTTAATTATTACACTCATATAAAGATAACCACATATGGCCTATTTAATCCGCACAGACCTACATTTTCATGGATTTTCCCTCCCACATCCAAAAAGGCAGACAGATGAACATTGCTTGCAGTGTGTTGATGTACATCTATACGTTTAAGAAATGATCGACAGTGTCTTTCTGCCTGTGTGTTTCTCTCTCTTTCTCTTTCTCTCTCTCTCTCTCTCTCTCTCTCTCTCTCTCCCTCTTCCTGCTTGACTCACTCCTCCTCCTCCTCCCATCCCCAGCCGTTCAGCCTGCCTCCTGTCTATTGTGCGTAATTCCCTCTATTAGAAAAAATACTGCAGTGTATTTTTATTTTTAATTATTAGAACCAATTTTAAGAAAATAATCCAAAGGGAGAGTTTGGAGGCTGCAGCGGTTGCGTGTGAGCTTGTGTGGGGTTATATATTTCGGTCTGGCACAGAAGGGGGCTGGGCAGCCAGGAGGAATCCGTGATATTGTAATAATTAACCTCCAATAATTGTGGCTAATTAATTAAGGTAGTTTAATTAGATATATGATTATTTTCATTTTGCATGTAAAACCGAGCAGGAGCACAATACACACGCAAATGTAGGCCTATTTCTGAATGACACACAAAACTGTCATCATTATGACCATCAGTATATTAATAGTAATCAATTAATTTGAATATTAATTATTAGCAAATTTCACAATTTTAGATTTTTGGTGTTATAAATCTATGTAACAGAAAATACGATTTTAGATGAAATATGTGGATTTTAAAACAGTGTATAGAAATGTGAGGTGATAGTTGTAACGGTGTGTGTAGGACCATGTGCTTTCTGGTGGTGCTGTTGTTGTGGCTTGAGAGGGGGTTGGGGAATGTTGGATTGGATGTGTGTTATCTATTACCCCTTCTGAAGCAAGTAAAATGGAGCAAATTGTTGTTGCACATTACTCTGGTGATGTGTGTGTGTGTTTGTCATGGCTGTGTATGTACCTGAGAGAGGTGTGTGTGCTGATATGTGATTAGAAACACCGATCACGTCTCTGAACCAGCAAGGATGTTGAAAGCAATTAAGGGGTCATTAATTGTATGTGTGTAAGTGTGTGTGTGTTACTGCTCAGATAAAGGATTGGATAAAGTGTGTGTGTGTGTGTGTGTGTGTGTGTGT